AAAAAAAAAAAGCATGTTGCCCCAGATTTACTGCTCTGTTTATGTTAATAGCACTTTTGAAAATAGACACACTCACCCAGATAGCAAGAAATCTACTCAGTGATTTGTGTATTGAAATTCTGAGTGGCTTCTTTCTTTCTTTCTTTTTTTCTGTCTCTCTTTTCTCAGCGTGCGCCTCTCAGTTTCTGTTTTTCAAATTCTGTTTCTCTGGGCTCTGCACTATCTGTTTCATATGCTCTTTACATTTCAAAATTATCTCAGTTAAAATTTCCCTGAGCAACACTTCTGTCTGGAAATTAAAGAACAATTTTAATGCATTCCTATTAAATTTCTAATGAAGTCTGAGGCAGGAGAATTGCCTAAGCCCAGGAGTGCTGTGAGCTGTGACTCCACGGTACTCTACTGAGGGCGACAAAGTAAGACTGTCTCTTACAAAAAACAAAAAAACTGCCTATGAATATAGGCTACTTGTCAATCTACGAATAGACTTTTGGGTGGTGTAGGTCTGGGACCTGGAGACACGTTAGAACCACCCAAAGTGCATATAAGAAACACCTGTGCCCAGGCCCCTCTTTGAACAATTAAATCAGAATCTCTGGTTCAGGGGCCTAGGCAACAGTATTTCCAAAGCTCTCCAGATAGTTTTAAAATGCAGCCAGAGGCTCAGCCCAGCAGCTCACTCCTATAATCCTAGCACTTTGGGAGGCCAAGGTGGATGGATCACCTGAGCTCAGGAGTTGGAGACCAGCTTGAGTAAGAGTGAGACCTTGTCCCTTAAAAAAAAAAAGCCGGATGTTGTGGCGGGTGCCTATAGTCCCTGCTACTAAGAAGGCTGAGGCAAAAGAATCACTTGAGCACAAGAGTTTGAGGTTGCTGTGAGCTATGATGCTACAGCACTCTACTGAGGGTGACAAAGTGAGACTCTGTCTCCAAAAATAAATAAATAAAATAAATGAAAATAAATAAATAAAATGCAGGCAGAATTGAGAAGCAGTAGAAGAGCACTTAAGGAGTGCCAATATCTAATCAATTAAAATAGTCAATTGGGGCCGGGCATGGTAGCTCATGCCTGTAATCCTAGCACTCTGGGAGGGCAAGGCAGGTGGATTGCTTGAGCTAATGAGTTCGAGACCAGCCTGAGCAAAAACAAGACCCCCATCTCTACTAAAAATAGAAAAACTAAGGCAAGAGAATCGCTTGAGCCCGAGTTGGAGTTTGCTGTGAGCTATGATGCCATGGCACTCTACCCATGGTGACAGCTTGAGACACTGTCTTAAAAAAAAAAAAGTAAATTGGAATATAGTACCCAATTAACACTTCATGTTGAAAGTTCAGGCTCGGCGCCTATAGCTCAACCGGCTAAGGCGCCAGCCATGTACACCTAAGGTGGCGGGTTCAAATCCCCAGCCCGGACCCGCCAAACAACAATGACGGCTGCAACCAAAAAATAGCCGGGCGTTGTGGCAGGCGCCTGTGGTCCCAGCTACTTGGGAGGCAGAGGCAGGAGACTCGCCTGAGCCCAGGAGTTGGAGGTTGCTATGAGCTGTAATGCCACGGCACTCTGCCCAGGGTGACAGCTTGAGGCTCTGTCTCAAAAAAAAAAAAAAAAAAAAAAAAAAAAGAAAGTTCAAAGAGAACTACCAGCTGCTCTAAATATAAGGCTTTTAATTTAATTTAACTTTTTTAAGAGACAGGGTCTTGCTCTGTTGCCTAGGTGAGGGCACAGTGGCATCATCAGATCTCACCTGAGCCTCCCAAAGTGCTGGGATTACAGGCGTGAGCCCCCTTGCTTGTCCCAAAGCTTTACATTTTAATCCATGATGCCATCCTGAGGCATCAGCAAACTTTCTGCAAAGGGCCAGGCAGTAAATACTTTAAATTTTGTAGGGCATATATAATCTCTGTCTTCATTCTTTCTTTTTAAAACTGTCCCATAACACTTTAAAAATGTAAAAGACCCTGTAACACAAACAGGCTGACGTCTGCATATGGCCCAAGGGTTGGCATTTACTCCCTCTGCCCTAAGCAAACTTGCTGTGATGTTATAAACATTTTCTCTGTTTCCTCATAAATATTTCAGGAGGTCCAAACTAAAATGAAGCATCTATCCGTACGTTGCTAACGTCTCTGAAGAAGAATAAATTGGAATTAGCTGAAAGGAGTAGAGTAAAAAAGCAAGACATGACTGCAGAATGGAATTTTCCTCCTCCCCCCCAAACATACACAGATTTGGGAACTGTCAGTATTGGCTGTATAGTTGAAGCGTATGATGTGTGAGCGGTGTGAAGAGATTCTGATGCACAGAAATAGCATCACTAATCCGTGGTCCCTCACACCTTCAGTACCACAATTGGCCTCGCCCGCAGAGAGAAAATCTGGCCACTTTTGCAGTAAATGAGTAACAGAGAAAGGTCTCCCAGGCAAGGTGTCAAGGATGGCTGGGGTGAGGACAAAAGTCAAGTCAGAAAAAGAGAATTCAAAGTGTTAAATATCTTCCATTTTATTATTGGCATTACAAAAAACGATGCCAGTTATTACACAATACATTATAAAGCTCAGTTTTGTTTTGCTTTTTTAATTTGGGAATAAAGTAAAATTTGCCACCGAATATGAGTAAGAGGGTAATGGTAATGGCAATATTTACTAGACTTGAGTTTCTTGTCAAAAGTAATTGTAGGTAAAAAAAAAAAAAAAAAAAACAATAATTGCAGGTGCCACAGAGATAAATCTACTCTAAGCTAGTAACAATTTGTGTAAATGACAATAAGAGTCAGGATAAGGGGCCTGGGTGGGGGTGGGGTGGGGCTAGGGGTAATGCACTGAGACCCTGCCTGGCCAACGGTTGTAAATAATCGGCATTTCAGTGATGAGACACTGCGACTGAGTAAAGTGGGTCAAATTCTGTCCAGTATAGGGATAGGTTAAAAATGACCAAACAGGAAACTATTATATATATTATTTCCTTTCACACAAACCACCACCAGATGTGGCACTACCCAAAGCCCAAGAGCAGAGAAATGAAAGACAAAGCCTGGAATTTGAAGTAAAAAGTGGGGAAGAAGCAGCTAAATTTGTGTTTTGGCTTAGGAACATTCATTCTGATTCAAATCACTCTGAGAAGATTAAACCCAAGTAAGGCTCCCTCCCCTCCCCCTGTATTTATTATCAGAAACATATTTATAATGAGGCTGGGCTCAATGGATGCTTGTAGTCCCAGTGCTTTGGGAAACTCAGGGGGGAGAATCACTAAAGGCCAAGAGTTCAAGACCACCCTGGCAACATAGTGAGACCCTGTCTCTAGAAAATATAAAAGAATTAGCTGGGCCCAGTGGCATGCACCTGTACAGTCCCAGCTACTCGGGAGGCTGGGGTGGGAGGATCGCCTGAGCCTGGGCATTAGAGGTTGGAGTGAGCTATAGTCGAGCCACTACACTCCAGCTTGGGTGACAGAGCAAGACCTTGTCTCTGAAAAAAAAAAAAGAGGAAGAAAGAAAAAGAAAAAAAATTATACTGAAAAGGGAATAAAGAACAGTACTCTGCCTATTTTTAGCTTTTATCCCCATTTTACCACTATTCTCATTAGTCTCTGGTGGTCCCTCCTCTCGTGGCCAAATCATTACCCAGGGCTTACCCCAAGCATCATGCTGCCAGTCTGGTTTTCCCACTTGTTTCTTAGTAGTCACTATCTATAATTTACCAAACTCACTATCAATCAGAACAAGCAGCTTTCTGAGGACACGTAATCAACATCCTCTACATTTGGGAGGATGCTGAAGTGTGGACACATTGACCTAAATAACCGTAATTAGGGCACATTTCTAAATGGCAACCTTCTGAGATAACATCACCTTTTATTCCTGGTTACCCACCAAGCTCGTCTTGACAGTCATTTCCAGGTACATCTTAACTCTGTCAATCAGTGACAGCGCATGACATTTGAAAGAATAAAATTCCACTGTGTTCGTGAATGGACATATTGTGAAGCTTGGGAGGAGATGTTCCCGTTTCCACAACTCTGGTTAGGTTGAAGGAAATCCTCTGCAGCTAATCTAGGAGACTCCTGGTCACCCACAGCCTCTTCCTGGATCACTTACTCAAAATACCAACTCCAAGATCCCAACCCTCATTGAACACACGCTAGAGATTCAGCTCACTTTTACTGAGCCAACTGTGTCTTCTAATTGGTAAGCTAGACAAAGGCTAATTTTCTTTTCTTTTACAAATTTTTTTTTTGTAGAGACAAGAGTCTCACTTTATTGCCCTTTGGTAGAGTGCCTTGGTGTCACAGGCTCACAGCAACCTCCAACTTCTGGGCTTAAGTGATTCTCTTGCCTCAGTCTCCCGAGTAGCTGGGACTACAGGCGCCCGCCACAACGCCCGGCTATTTTTTTGTTGCAGTTTGGCCAGGGCTGGGTTTGAACCTGCCACCCTTGGTATCTGGGGCCGGTGCCCTACCCACTGAGCTACAGCCTCCCAAACAAAGACTAATTTTTAATTCAGTATGGTGCACTTTCCTTTTCTTTCCTAAACTGTTAGTCTTTTGCTTTCCAATTGCTGGAGAGCTGATGCACGATACCACTCAATGAGTACCCTTATTTTTTTTATTTTATTTTATTTTTTGAGACAGAGTCTCACTCTGTCGCCCTGGGTAGAGTGCTGTGGAGTCATAGCTCACAGCAATTTCAAATTCTTGAGCTTGAGCAATTCTCTTGTCTCAGCCTACCAAGTAGCTGGGACTACAGGCACCCACCACCATGCCCGGCTAGTTTTTTCTGTTTTTAGTAGAGATGGGGTCTCACTCTTGCTCAGGCTGGTCTTGAACTAGTGAGCTCAAGCATTCTACCTGCCTCAGCCTCCCAGAGTGCTAGGATTACAGCAGAGCCACACTGTGTTTCTTTAAAACACAAAAGAAATGGGTGGCGCCTTTGGCTCAGTGAGTAGGGTGCTGGCCCCAAATACTGAGGGTGGTGGGTTCAAACCCGGCCCTGGCCAAACTGCAACAAAAAAATAGCTGAGCATTGTGGCGGGCGCCTGTAGTCCCAGCTACTCGGGAGGCTGAGGCAAGAGAATCGCCTAAGCCCAGGAGTTGGAGGTTGCTGTGAGCTGTGAT